GTTTTGTTTTTATCCCAAGCCAGTTCTCCTGGATAATTTCATCCTGGCATCTGCCATCAAGTGTCCTCTCTTACCTTTGCTGAATTTGGCACTTCTTAAACATTACCTATGAAACATTTGGCTCTAGCCTAGCTATTTAACCTCTGTTTTTCTAAATGTTCCCCACAATATGAACACTAAGTACCTGATGGCAGATATATTTCATACATCCATTGGGAATTTGTTATTAAAACAAGGGAGTATTTTTCTTTTCTAAAGAGAGGCAGTGTTTTCTGTTTGTAGGTTCTCGTTTCCTTGGGGATTTTTGTTGTTCACACGAGTGGGGCCAAAGACAGCACCTGCCAGCCAAGAACACATGGTCTGCCTCTGGGCCTTGGGGATCTCTATCACAGGGTTTCAGAGAGGGAGGACAGATGTCCCGGTATGCTGTGAGGACCCTCCACATCCCGCTGTAAGAGCATAAATGGGAAAGGTGATACTTTTGCTCTCTCCTCCTTCCCTTTTGTACTCTGCTTTCCCTGACCATCACACAGGACTGATAGTGAGCGGTCCCCATGACCACCAAGCAGGACATTCTCTTTCTACAAATCATTTACTCAAATCCTGTGTTTGGAACACAGTGGTGAAGGATACCGGACTAACCTGGGTTTGTATCCCAGCTCTGCCTCTCATCATTAGCTATGTAACCTCAGTCAGCAGACTTAACTTCTCTGAGCATTCACTTTCTCATGCAATAAAAGTGCCGCCCTCAAGCTTGAGGTGAGAATTAAAGGGAACAATGCAAGTGAGAGTCCTGACAGAGGCATCAGTGTGTGTGATTACTAGGAAGTATCCTGGTTTCAACAGTAAATTAAACAGTCTCCCCAATTATTACTCGGAAACATTGGCTATTCTCAGAATCTTTGTTCTATACTATCTATACCTAACTATTTCTGTTTCTCACTCAAGCCAGTTTTGAGGGCTGCTTTGCCCTTTGGCCCTAAAGAGCCAAAGATGAATAGCCCCCATCCCTGGCCCTGAGCCAACTTGGGTTTGGGGAGTGGGATTGGAGCAGAGCCACATTCTGTCGAGGTAAGTCACAAGGTTGGAACTTTCAGGGTTGAAGGATGAGTTTGCAAAATTGATAAGGACTTAGCACTTCCCGTTAAATGCTGGGCATACGTTGGCCAAAGAGGGAATGTACTGTACAGCACTCACATGCACAGGCGTATATCCAAGGAATTCCTTTGCAGCACTGCCTGTGAGAGGAAAACTGGAAGTAGCTAAATGTTCATCAGTAATGGGAACAATTAAGTGAGTCTGGGTCCATTGTCACTATGGCATACCATGCAGACACTTAAAAAATGAATTTATCTATTTGTACTGCCACTCCAAGAAATATTGTTAAATTTTAAGAAAGTTAAAAAGCTGCTCATTCATCCATTCAGTGAATATTAAATATGCACCCTGTGCCGAGAACTGCCCTTGTATCGAGGCTATAGAACAAGACAAGATCAAAGTCCTACCTGCAGAAGAAAGACAATAGGCAAATGAGCATGCACATAGCATAATCTCAGGCAGTGAGAAATGATATGAAGAAATAAGAATAATGTGATAGACAGTGGCAGGGGACAGAAGAATTATGGCATAGCCCCCCACCCCCCCTTGAGCTAACACCCGTGTGTGAGATGGAGCCAGCCCTGAGAGGGTTCAGGGAAGGGTGTTCAGCACTGAGAACAGTAGATGCTAAGAGTCCCAGGTAGGGGTGAAGGAGTGAGGCATGCTCCAGAAGAGCAGGAAGACTACAAGGGTGGGATGGAGGGGCCAGAAGCCCATCCCACAGGTTCTATAGGCCTGGGACTCTGCTGATCGTGCAAAGGCAAATGTTGGAGGCTTTTGAAGAAAATCCACTGTGCTAGCAATACATGACACATATCTAACAGCATCCTGTTTATTACTTTTAAATATATATATATTTTATTGATTTTTTACAGAGAGGAAGAGAGAGGGATAAAGAGTTAGAAACATCAATGAGAGAGAAACATCGATCAGCTGCCTCCTGCACACCCCCTATTGGGGATGTCCCCACAACCAAGGTACATGCCCTTGACCAGAATCGAACCTGGGACCTTTCAGTCTGCAGACCGACATTCTATCCACTGAGCCAAACCGGTTTCGGCTGTTTATTACTTTTTAAAGATAAGCTTCCTAATGGCTGAGTGGGAGAACTGGAAATCTGCATATCAAATGATTAATGGTAGTTAACCTCTGGAAAGGTGCTGTGGAGACTCTTTTTGCTCTATACCTTTGAGCCTGTCTGTCTTATAGTGAAATGTGTTTATTATTGGGTAATTAACAAAACTGATTATGGTTTGACTCGGCCTTCAGGAAGTACTTTGTAGCCTGGCCTGCGTGGCTCAGTTGTTGAGCCTCAACCTATGAACCAAGAGGTCATGGTTCAATTTTTTATCAGAGCACATGCCCCGTTGGTGGGCTTGATCCCTAGTGTGGGGCCTACAGGAGGCAGCCAGTCAATGATTCTCTCTCATCATTGATATTTCTATCTCTCTCTCCCTCTCCCTTCCTCTCTGAAATCAATAAAAATATAATTAAATAAGCTGGTGAAACAAGGTCCTTTGAAAGCCCAGAAGCCAGCACCTTTCTGTGTTGGCCTGCAGTGCTAAAGCCCGTTCCATAAAAACAGAACTGTGTCATACCCTGTTCTCCTCCTTGATCTCCACCGAGTTCCAAGCACAGGTTCTGGGCTCTCTTCTGCCATCTCCCTTTGCTTTGCCTTCTGATAGCTCATTGCAAGGGCAGGCAGGGTCAGCTCTCCAGGTGATCATCTGCAGGAACATACTGAGAACCACCAGGTTTGCTGTCTTCTGTTTTTTGTTTTGTTTTAAATATTTTTATTGATTTCAGAGAGGAAGGGAGAAGAGGAGAGAGAGAGAAATATCAGTGATGAGAGAGAATCATTTATCGGCTGCCTCCTGCATACCCCACACTGGGATCAAGCCCACAACCTGGGCATGTGCCCTGTCTGGGAATCAAACCATGACCTCCTGGTTCATAGGGCGATGCTCAACCACTGAGCCACTCCAACTAGGCTGTTGTCCTCTGTTCTTTTTATCTCCACATCAATCATTCAGAATGACTCTTGAGCTGCAGTCTTCTCAATGGTCTGCAGTAGCAAGCACAGAAGTCTATGGTCCACTCCTTCCCTTCTCCCAAATCTTGTCCGGTGCAGCTTATAGGCAGCATTGCTGGAAAGTCCCCATCTAGCCTCATTTGTACAGGAAGATGAAAGAACAAAGAATTTGCTATTTGCTAAGAGGAAGGAGCAGGCTAGGTCAAGGGACCCCACCAGTGCACAATCCAGGAGGGACTGGCACATCTCACTCAGTCCCGATGGGCCAGATCCCAGCAGCAAGCTAACCTGTCGGTTGGAGCTTCTGCCCCCTGGTGGTCAGTGCACGTCATAGGATCTGGTCAACTGTTCAACCATCTGCCCCCTGGTCAGTGCATGTCACAGTGAACAGTTGAGAGGCCTTAATATATTATTAGCATATTATGCCTTGATTGGTTGAACTGACAACTGGACACTTAGCATATTAGGCTTTTATTATATAGGATGTTCACCAGTAATCCCTGTTTCTACAAAGTGGCAGAAGGAGTTAATATTTTGCTTATAAAGTCTGACTTGCAGTTCATATATTTTGGCTTATTTAATAACTGTATTTCATGAACTAGAGACCCTAGACCCGGACACTCTGACTGAGAGGAAACCCTCGTAAAGTGGTGCAGGAGTGATTATGGGCAGTGACCAAATGGTGAGACTCTAATCCTCAGTAAACAACAAAAGTTGTAGACTCTCGGGAAGTGTTGTAAAGAAAAGACATTATGTATAATATCTCTCTTTCTATATAAAAAGAGTATTTCATGGTGATTTCAGGGAAAGTATAACAAAGTAAATAAAAATCTACCCCGATTCTTTTTTGTTGTTGTTTGTTAATCCTCATCCAAGGATATTTTTCCATTGATTTTTAGAGAGAGTAGAAGGGAGGGAGAGAAACAGAGAGAAAAACATCAGTGTGAGGGATACACATGGATTAGTTGCCTGCTATACATGCCTCAACCAGGGCCAGGATTGGGCCTGCAACCAAAGTACATGCCCTTGACCAGAATGGAACCCAAGACTCTAGTCCTCAGGCTGATGCTCTGCCACTGAGCCAAATTGACTAGGGCTACCCAGATTCTTATGCTCTCTAAGAGGCTCATCTTCCTCCTCCTATATGTGGATAACAGTGACAGTACACACCTATCCTGTGATGGGCACTTTGCATGGCTATTCTTCATTACCCTTCTAACAGGGTAATGAAGATTAGAAACAGAAACAGTTAATAAGCATCGACAAAAGATTCATTAAATTAGCCATGACATACCAATACAGGGTTGGGCAAAAGTAGATTTACAGTTGTTCATATGGAAAATAATACATTTCAAGAGTGGGTACTCTTAGTTACATTATACAGATGAGAAAACTAAAGCTTGGATGAGGGTGTGGGAATTTGGCTCAAGATCAGCCAGCCGAAAGTGAAGCTACCAGAGAGAAGGGCCCCTTAGCATTTCTTTGCAGTCTCTGGTAGGCCTCAGGTATTATTTCCTTTTTTTTTTTTTTTTTTTTTCTTTTTTTTTTTTTAAGAGTATGTTTTTATTGGTTTTAGAGAGGAAAGGAGAGAGAAAGAAACATCAATGATGAGAGAGAATCACTGATCAGCTGCCTCCTGCATGCCCCACACTGGGGATCAAGACCACAACCGGGGCCTGTGCCCTGACCTCCTGGTTCACAGGTCGGTGCTTAACCACTGAGCCTCACTGCCCAGGATCCTTTTTCTTAGAACAACTGACACGATAGGCTCCAGGGACTTGTGAGAAGTGTAACGTATTTGTGGATCATATGGTAGGTGCTTTTTTGCTCTGCTCATGTCTGGGTGCCCCACTGTCCCTCTCCAGGCATCATGGCCATCCTGTTCTCAGGCATCGTGATGTCGCACTATACGCACCATAACCTGTCCCCGGTCACCCAGATCCTCATGCAGCAGACCCTCCGGACCGTGGCCTTCCTGTGCGGTGAGTTCTCGGTGGTTTGGCGTGAGCCTTCCCTGAGCTGATGGTTCTTACCCTGTTTGAGGAGTCCAGTTGTTCCCTGGAAGAAGAGGCAGCAGGATCCTCAGAGCCAGACTTGAACTCCCTTGTTTTTTGTTTGTCACTCTGGCTTTCAAATTCCATAAAGTAAACCTAATACTTAATAAATGAATATTTGCTGCCTAAAATTTTAAAACCAAAAATAATGAATGCTACTAATTATGAACATTTGATCCTCATGCATATTAATATATTAAAGTCACATTTCCAAAAATGTTTTCCTTGGAACAGATATTGGTGAGGGTTAAGTGAATAAAGAGTGTGGGAAATCCTGGGATAAAGTTTAAAGTTTCTGAACTACAGGACTTTTAAGCAGCGTGCATTGTGAACTTCTGAGAGAAGAATGTAGTAACAGCATTTCCCAAACTTGTCCATAGGAGCATCTTGAAAGACCTAATTCAGGGAGGTATCATTGTTGGGCTGGGGTACACCAGGATGACTGGTTCCCCCATATACTCTCTTCTTAGTTTATGCCTGGCCCTGAAGGAACCACTCTCACACTGTCCCTTTGCACTGGTGCCCAAGTGGCTGTGTCCTAGCTGTCACCATCAGCATCTCCCCTGACATTTCAATGGGGTTTGTCTCATGTTGAAGTGTGAGTTCCACACTGTCACATGCTAGATAGGAGGCAGGACAGGCTGTGCAGACTTCAGTCCATGGATAAGGAGGCTCAGGTGTCAAATGACTTGTCCACAGTCGCATGGTTCAGAAGTGACTCTGAAGCCAGGTCTGTCTCTTCTGGCCCAGCAGGTATTTTTCCCATAGAACCCCTCTCAGAAAGTCATGGCTAAGGACTTGGACCCTGACTCACCATTAAAGGAGTGTAAAGCAAAACATCCATCAGATTCTGTTTTGAACCCATCAGATAAGTTAATGTTAAATTTGATAATACCCACTTCTGGCACAGGTGTATGTAAGACAGGCCATTGACGTGCATGTATCCTGATGCCATTTCCTTGGAGAGTCCTTTGCAGTGTGCCTGAATTTAAAAGGCATGAGCTCTTGGACCCACAGTTCCACCAGGGATTTTGCCTGTGCAGAGGGATGCTTGTTGTAGTTTGTAATATAAGAAATAGAAATAGTCAAGAAGCATTGACAATGGATTCATTAGATTAGCCATGACATACCGATACAGGATTAGACAAAAGTAGGTTTACAGTTGTTCATATGGAAAATAATACAATCCTATATAATAAAAGCCTAATATGCAAATTGACTGAATGGCAGAACAACCAGTGGAACAATTGGTTGCTATGATGTGCACTGACCACAAGGGGGCAGATGCTCAACGTAGAAACTGCCCCAGCTCACAAGGCTCCAGGCCAGCCAAGGTGGGTGTCAGCAGGATTCGGCCAATTGCCCCACCAGTCGCCCCACAGATCAGCCCTGATTACTGGCCAGGCCTGGAGACCCTACCCATGCACAGATTTCATGCTCTGGGCCTCTAGTAATCCTATCTAATAAAAGAGAAATATGCAAATTGACCATCACTCCAAGACACAATATGGCTGCCCCATATGGTCAAAGATGGGCTGCCCCTATGTGGACACAAGATGGCTACCACAAGATTGCTGGCAGGGGAGGGCAGTTGTGGACAGTTGGAGGTGACCACATTAGCAGAGGAGGGCAATTGGGGGAAGGAAGGCAGTTGGGAGGGGAAGGACCCAGGTCTGCAGGGGAGGGCAGGTGGGGGTGACCAGGTCATCAGGAAAGGGCAGTTGGGAGGGAACAGGACTGCAGGGGAGGACAGTTGGGGGAGGCAGATCTGCAAAGGAGAGCAGTTGGGGGATGGGAGGCAGGCCTGCAGGGGAGGGAAGTTAGGGGCAGCCAAACTGGCAGGGGAGGGCATTTAGGAGCAATCGGGCCGGCTGGGGAGCAGCTAGGCATTGATCAGGTTGGCAGTGGATTGGTAAGGGGGTGATCAGGCTGGCAGGCAGAAGCAGTTAGGGGTAATCAGGCAGAGGCAGGTGAGCAGTTGGGAGCCAGCAGTCCTGGATTGTGAGAGGGATCCAACTGCCCATTTAGTTCCAATTCCACCAGGCAGTTGGACATCCCTCAAGGGGTCCCAGATTGGAGAGGGGGCAGGCTGGGCTGAGGGATACCCCCTCTCTCTCCCTCATGCATGAATTTCATGCCTCTAGTTAATAAATATAATACAAAAATAAATTCTGTGTTTATGTTACTCACAACTGTAAATGTACTTTTGCCCAATCCTGTAGAATTTATGCTGCCAGAGAAAAGCATAATGTAGACATCAAAACTACCTAAATGAGAATTTGGAAAGATAACAGAAAACATTAATGGCTCAAGGAAAAATTCGAGGAGAGGAATGAATCTACTGTCCAGCTTGTGACTTATTTTAAAGGGAAGGAAAACAATGTGGGAAGGAAAACACATATGAAGGAAAACAATGTGGGCAAAGTGTTTTAAAACAGCCTTGTTATATTATAATACTCAACTATTTTACAATACAGTCTTTTCTCCCTAGTTATGAGGCTGTTCTGGGGCATCTCAATAAAAGCAGGTAGCCTAGCCCTAGCTGGTTTGGTTCAATGGATAGAGCATTAGCCTGTGGATGGAAGGGTTCCTGGTTTGATTCGGGTTTGATTCCAGTCTAGGGCACCTGCCCGGGTTGCAGGCTTGATCCTCAGTGGGGGGCATGCAAGAGGCAGGCAATCAATGATTCTATCTCATCATTGACATTTCTCTCTCTCACTTCTTCTCTGAAATCAATAAAAATACATATATTAAAAAATAAAGCAGGGAGCCTGGTGGTGGAAATGTATCTTTGGGTTACATAGCAACGGCTTGTACAATGAGCATGAATGTCGGACTCTTGTGGAGTGGAGCCCAGAGCTGGAAATGTACTCCTTCCTGCAAATGCTGCAGGCTGTGAGCTGTCTCCTAAACCTGGGGTGGTATTAAATACATGGGGTCAGTCACTTGGCTTTGTCCGCTCTGGCAAGGACGATAACAAAGGGCCCTTTCACACTGGTCAGGTGGTGTCTGCGATGAACTGTGTCACTTTACCGGCCACTGGGATCCTTGCTAATCACAGTGCTCAGCAAATGGACTGAGTATTTATTCACATGAGTATGTGACAGTTGCCTCGTTAAATTAGGAGATTCAGAATAGCAAGCACATGTTGCTTGTATGATAGAGAAAAATGAGATAATCACAGTACTAGTTTCACCAGGGATTGGTTGCAGATGTTTCAGAAAATATGCAAAGTGTTTCTGACTGACTTGTGAATGTTTGCTTGCTTAACAATTTAGTACTGTATTGGAAAAAATAGTCTGGGCTAAATAATCCATTCTTTGGTTTGTTTCAGAAACATGTGTGTTTGCATTTCTTGGCCTGTCCATTTTTAGTTTCCCTCACAAGTTTGAAATTTCCTTTGTCGTCTGGTGCATAGTAAGTATTTTCCTTGTTTTTTATTTAATTACTTATTCAGTGACCACATGTTCTGGATTCATTTATGTAACTGTTAACTGTTCAAAGTCAACAGCTACATAGACATTCTTATGTTGAAGTTTTTTTGTTGTTACAAAATCACAAACATACAATAAAGGTATGGAATTAAGTGAATGCATATCCCGGAAAAGGATTTTTACTTCTTTTTAAATTTTAAATGGCCTTAAATAACATGGTCTTCTTTTAAAGGCACATTGTATGTGTTTTTATGTTCGGTGGTAAAAGCAAATTTTAACATTGAATATGTAATTGAGCATAACTATGTAAAAACATTATGCATAGAAAAAGAAAATTTCACCAAATGTTCCCAGTGTGTGTAGAACTGAGGATGATTTTTTTTCTTTTCTATGCTTTCTGGATAATTTATAATGCATGTATTTCTTACTGTAGTTCTCTTCAGATGTCCTTTCATAAGCTTGACCTTTTGCATTGTGTAAAGATTACTAGGCTCCTAGTTCCCCTGACGTTTCCTCCAGGGTACTCATCCCAGGTGATTCTTACTAACAAGAAGGTTTGGAAAACTGTTATAGTTGGACTGGGCATGGCAGCAGGAGACACATTAAAATACATCTCTAAAAAAAGGAAAGTAGAAGATTAATCATCTGTAGAAGAACCAAGTCCTTGTGGGGAAAAATAAAAGTTTAGCATTTAAAAGAAAGGTCCAGCTCTGGCCAGTGTGGCCTAGTTGGTTGAGCATCATCCCATACACCAAGAGGACATTGGTTTGATTCCTGGTCAGGGCACACACCCCTAGTGGAAGCTCAATCCCCCGTAGGGAGAATGTAGGAAGCAGCCGATTGATGTTCTCTCTCATCTCCCTCTCCCCTTCTTTCTCTTTCTAAAATCAGTAAAAACATTTAGAAAATAAAAGAAAGGTCCAGCTCTCTCAGGCATCTGATCAAAGTGACATGACTTCTAACAGTTCGGGCATTTGGCCTGGTGTCCCCAGGTTGCTTGCCTGTGTTCGTTCCTCTTTGTGTCTCTTCCCTCAGAGTGAGCTCATCTCCCGGAGGCCCTCCAGCCGATTCAGACTCCAATCCCTAATTTGATCTTTGTTGTCCCTTTATTTTTATTTATTTATTTTTTTAATATATTTTATTGATTTCTTACAGAGAGGAAGAGAGAGGGGACAGAGAGTTAGAAACATCGATGAGAGAGAATCATCGACCAGCTGCCTCTTGCACACCCCCACTGGGGATGTGCCCACAACCAAGGTACATGCCCTTGACCGGAATCGAACCTGGGACCTTTCAGTCCGCAGGCCAACGCTCTATCCACTGAGCCAAACCGGTTTCGGCTGATCTTTGTTGTCCCTTTAGATCCTATGTTACTTTAAGGTACTTAAGAAGTATGCCTTGTTACATTTGAATTATTATAATTCATCTTCAGTTAACTATTATTACCAGCTCCACTTAATAAAGCATAGCTATTGGGAGTCAAAGTTTTTATTTTGCACAGTCATCTACCATGTGCAAACCAGAGAGGTCTACCTGTTCGGCCTGTAGGGAAAGTGAGACTCGGAAAAGATAAGGAGCCCTAAGAAAAAGATGTTTCTCCTTGAAACCTGGATGCTTCCACCTCCATCGGCAAGAGCGTGAAGCTTTTGTATTGTTATCTGTCCTCCAAACTCCAGTTTCAGGACAAGAGGACAGAAGCAAGTCTTTTCAGAAAATATAATAGTCTTTAGTGTGGTCTCTGGTAAACGGAGCCACCTTTGGTGAAACCTGAAATGCAAGTATCAGATTGGGAGGTTGGATTCCAGCGGGTGAAACAGGGAGTGACTGTGTCAGCCATGGGTTGGGAGGAGAAGGAGATGATGCCCTGAGGTGGTGACTTGGTTTTCCCTGAGCACCTCGGCTGGCCCTGCCCCTCCTCAGGGCAGCCTAGGCTTTTCGAGTGGGTTACTTTACCCTGGCTCAGTGGCCAAGGGCATGGGTTTTGGGGACAAAACCAGATTTGAGACTTGGCTCCACCACTTTCTGCCGGGGTCAGCTTGGGCCAGTTACTTAACCTCTCTTTGTCTCTGTCCCTTTGTCTCCAAAATGGAGACAGAAATACCTACTTTATAAGACCATTGCAGGGATCTAAATTTAACAAGATACAATGCATATAAAATGCTTAGCACATTGTCTGACATATAAATGTTAGATGATTGGGAGCCATTATTAACTTGACCATCTAAGGCATGCACACTCCAAAGCACACTCAATCCGTGCTGGTTAAAAGGATAAACTTAGAGCCAAGACCGGTTTGGCTCAATGGATAGAGCGTCGGCTTGGGGACTGAAGGGTCCCGGGTTCGATTCCGGTCAAGGGCATGTACCTTGGTTGCGGGCATATCCCCAGTAGGGGGTGTGCAAGAGGCAGCTGATCGATGACTCTTTCTCATCGATGTTTCTGGCTCTCTATCTCTCTCCCTTCCTCTCTGTACAAAATCAATAAAATATATTTAAAAAAAAAAAAAAAAAAGGATAAACTTAGAGCCTACAGAATGTGCGGGTGTATATCATCCTTTTCAAGATTAAAAAATGGAGGTAAATTAATAAGTAGCTCTAAGTATCCACTTAGATAAGATTTAAACTTCACATAAAGCTGTCTTTTGTTAAGACCAACATGCCTTTGGAAATGGTTAGGGACCCAAAGCCATGGCCGTAGCTGGGTTGTGTGATCTTTTAAAACCTGCCTGTGTGTTCCTTTTGCTCAGGGAATAACGTTTGCGTATGGGTTGGCCCTTCTCAGCCTTCCCTCCTTCCCCCGAGGAGCAGGGCCCCCATGGGAGAGGCAGGAACACCTGTTCGCGCCTCCAGAGCTAGCCCACTGGGAGTGATTAGCTCAGCCCTGTCCCATGGTGGAGCACCTTTGGAGGAGTTAGATTGCCCTTAAATTAAATAATTTCTGGGTACTTCTGCATGGCCTCTTGGCATTTGGTCCTCTTCTGCTGTCATTGCTAAAGTCATCACTGTCCTCTCTTTCTGATTACTGAGATGTGACATAAAAAGCATTATCCTTTCCCAGACACAGAAACCAAGCAACCCCAGCCGGGTTTCTGACTAGCACTGTGTTACTCACGCCTTTCATAACGGAGGGGATGCACTATCTAGAGTGGGTGTGCTACGAGGCCTGTGTCAGCCTCAGCAAGCTTCAGCTTAAAGAACCAGAGCTTAGAGCTTTCCATCTAAGACTTGGTTTGTTGCTGTTAACAGGTGCTTGTACTGTTTGGCAGAGCAGTGAACATTTTCCCTCTTTCCTACCTTCTGAATTTCTTCCGTGATCATAAAATCACCCCGAAGATGATGTTCATCATGTGGTTTAGCGGTAAGTCTGATCTGGAATGAACAGTGGAGGGAAGATTCCTCTTAAAAGGCACACACCAGGCAGAGGGCTCACGGGCTAGAGCCCTTTGAAAACAAGTGTGTTTCACAAGCTAAAAGGAATACAGATTCCCAGGCTGTCAGTGCTGCCGGGAGCTACTTGGGAGGCACCGGACAAATTGCAAGTGCTGTTGCCGGTCAAGCTGTGTGGCCCTGGGAGGACAGCTCTCTCAGTCTCGGTTCCTCGTCTGTAGAATAATAGGACCTGCTTTACAGGGTTTCCTGGGAACAGCAAATGAGATCATACAGGCAGAGCACTTAGCACATGCCTGGCTCACACTCAGGGAGGTGTTGGGCTTGACACACACACACACACACACACACACACACACACACACACGTTGCTTCACAGCCTGGACAGTGCACCTCATTTGATCTGCTCAGGCCCCTGGTGCAGTGGGCCCTTCTCTGTGGCCTGCTTTCTCACCCCAGAGCCTCACAGGATGAGTTGTTGCTCTCCAGGGCATCTGTTAGGATGTTTGACTGCCCATGACCCTGGGCCGTCCCAGGTCCTCTGAGAACGGGGTCAGGATGCCGCTGCCTCTCCTCCTCCTTCCATCCGTCCTCTTACTCCTTTCACTGTCGCCCTAGGCTTGCGGGGTGCCATCCCCTACGCCCTGAGCCTGCACCTGGACCTGGAGCCCATGGAGAAGCGGCAGCTCATCGGCACCACCACCATCATCATCGTGCTCTTCACCATCCTGCTGCTGGGCGGCAGCACCATGCCCCTCATCCGCCTCATGGACATCGAGGACGCCAAGGCGCGTCGCCGGAGCAAGAAGGATGTCAACCTCAGCAAGACAGAGAAGATGGTTAGTGCGTGGTGGGCCCAGAGCAGGCAGAGGGTTGGTCCCCCATGACTGCCGGGAAATGGGGAAACGGGAACAATTTGAGGATGCTCAGCCCCTACACACACACACACCCCATGTTCATGCAGTTGCCCAACCTGACAAGGGGTGAACTGAGGTTCTGACTCTTTGTGGTAGTTTATCTGCCAGCCTCGTGGCCTGGTGCAGCCATGGAGGTCAGGGGGGTGGACCTGTATCAGACTCTCGCAGCAACACGCCTCCCCTGCCAGCCCATCAGGGCCCAGGACTGAAAGGTTTCAAAATCCTATCATTCCCCAATGTCTACTGAATGCCTCCTGTGGGGCCTGAGTGCGGAAGGTGCTTACAGCGGCTTTGAGGGCCATGAGAGAGGTATCCTCCGCTGAGGCCAGACAAGGGCCTGATTGGGGCTGAGGTGCCCAGGGCACAGCTGCAGTGAACCTGAGGCCCCCATACCACTGTCCACCTCTGTTCCTCCAAGCCACCCTCCTGCCTGGCAGCTGCTCCTGCCTGTGGGCTGCCCCTCCCAAGTCAGCTGTGGCCATGTCTTCCCTCCCTGTGTCCCCTTCTGGCCCCATGTGCTGAGCCAGACTCTGACAGGAGCAAAGGCCGCCCTAGTCTCTCCTCCCACCTCTGTGCACCCACCATTCCCCCAAACGAATTTCCAGAAATGCATCTTTTTCCAGTTGCCTTATTGGAGGCCATCAGTCACTTGAATTAGTCTTGGAGGGCACAGCAGTCCTCAACCAGGAGACAGGGAAAGGGGATCTGCCCACTTCTCCCTCCGAAGTCCACATCTGGGCAGATCTTGGTCTCTAGTCTCTGTGCTGCTGGAAAGGAACTTTCAGGTGACCTCACGTTGGGCTGCTTAACCTTCCTCCTCTCAGCGGTCTTCTCCTCCACCCCTACTCACCAACTTTGTTGTTGTTTTTTAATCCTCACCCGAGGATATGTTTATTTATTTTAGGGAGGAAGGAAGAGAGGGAGGTGGGAGGGAGAGGTGGGGGGAGGAGAGGAGAGACAGAGAGAGACAGAGAGACAGAGAGAGACAGAGAGAGAGAGTGTGTCATCGATGTGAAAGAAGCATCAATCAGTTGCCTCCCATACTTAACCTGGGATCAAACCCGCAACCTTTTTTTGGTATATCGGTCAATTGAGCCATCCGGCCAGGGCCAAACTTTGTTTTTAATAAAAGTTTTAGTGTAGGTTCTGAGACCTGGCAGTGGGGTCAGAATTGGTGAAGGGCTCCAGGGTCTAACAGGTCTGGGTGTGCTAGAAAGAATTTGCATTTCTAACAGGTTGCCAGGTGCTGATCCTGCAGCCACACTTGGTGACTCTACCTCCTGGGTCTAGTGGAAGCAGGATGTTTGCTCAGAGGAAGCACATGCTGTTCAAGCATGTCCTGTGGCTCTGGCACTGCGTGAGGCTCCTTAACTGTCTCAGGTCACCCATGCCAGCAGGAAGCAGAGGTTCTCATTATGCCCATTTTGCAGATGAGAGCACTGAGGCATACAGAGGCCAAATCACACAGACTCCAGAGCCTGCACTTTTTTTTTTTAAATCAATCTTTATTGTTCATATTATCACAAAGGTTCCTCATTTCTTCCCCCCTCCACCAGGTTCCCACCCCACCCTCCGCCTCCTCCCCATCCCCCATTGTCCTCATCCATAGGTGCAGTTTATGTTCAGTCTCTTCTTCCCTCCCTTTCCCCGATAGTAAATCCCTTTTCAGATAGTAAATCAGTTACTTAGCATTTTCTCATATCAATAATACCTCCACATGCCCAATGATACACTTCACACAAAAGACATTTCCCACTAGGTCAACCAGCCTCATCCAGGCCCCATCCAAGGCACTCACAGATCAACACCCCAGCCCTATACTAACTCAACACATCCAGATCTAAGCCTTCATCACTTGATTCAGCAGACCCTCAAGTTCCCGCGAAAGTTTCCAGCCATGTCTGAGAGGCAGCCATGGGGCAGGGGCAGGCGAGGAGCGAGCTGTTCTGGGCCTGGCTGCTCAGGGCCTGGCCTCTGTTGCTCTGGTTCGTTTCACAACCAGCTGCTCCGGGTCTGGTCACTGCCGCTCCCGACCTAGTTGCTCTGGACTTGGCTGCTGCTGCTCCGGGCCTGGCCGCTCCCAGCCTGGCAGCCGCTGCTCCGGGCCTGGCCACACCAGCCCCGGCTGCAGAGCCTGCACTCTTAACTGCCAGTCTCCACCAATGGTCCCTAAGGTGGGACTCCTGGACCAGCAGCATCACTGGGAACTTGTTAGGAATACAGATTCTTGGGCCCCATCCCAGACCTCCTAAATCAGCCCTGCAAGTGGGCCCAGCATTCTGTGGATTCTCAAGCCCTTCAAACCTGCCCCAGACACCAGGGCTCCCCAGTGGGGGCCCAGTTAGCTGACTGTGGCTGGAAGGTAGCAAACACTGTTCACAACCCGTATGGAGGCTCTGCAGAGGCCTGGAGCAGGGCTGAGTAGATCAGTGAACCTGAGACCTACTTGCCTTCCAGACCTGCTCTGCGCCATGTGTAGTCATTCTCTTCATTCCTCTCTGGTTCCCACTGGGATTGTGTCTGTATGTCTCCTGTCCTCCCACTACTCTCCCTTTCCCTCCCTGGCACTGATCTGCACATTAAAATCCAGAAGCTTACAAACCAAGCCCAGCCCCCAGCCCAGAACTTCTGATTTATTCACAATTCTGATTTGTTCCTGGATATCCATCATGTTTTTACAAACCTCCCTACTTCCCTACAGGCTCCCAGGAAGCCCTTTGCTACCCACAGACACACTGATTGATTAGAAAGTGCAGTGAGGGTTGGGGACCCTGGTGGCAGGGGTGAAGGGGTGCTAGGTAGGCTGGGTGGTGTGGTGGCTTCCAGGAAGATGTCAGCCCATTACTGATCCTCAGCTGCCTTCCCCCTCAGGGCAACACAGTGGAGTCGGAGCACTTGTCGGAGCTCACCGAGGAGGAGTATGAAGCCCACTACATCAGGCGGCAGGACCTCAAAGGCTTCCTGTGGTTGGATGTCAAGTACCTGAACCCCTTCTTCACGCGGCGGCTGACCCAGGAGGTGGGACACCTGCCTCCCTCAGAGGCCGGGAGTGGGGGGCAGGGAAGGCCCACATGCTGTGTTGGGGAGAGGCAGCCAGGCCGCCTCCTCCCACTTGGCTCTCCTTCCCAGGATCCCATCTGCTGTTTTTCCTTTGCTACCGGATTTAGTGCTAGTTTAATAATAGACTTGCTAACACAGTTTGCTTTTCCTGGATGATAAGACTCAGGACATTGATCAGCTACTGAATCTGAGCTGAGGAATTTCAGACACGCCAGGGCCGCAGGCTCTTGTTCCATCCTCTCAGCACTGCCAGTCTCTGGGTGACAGGCAGTCTAATGGGGACCAGCTTGAACCTACTTTGCTGAATCAGTCATCGAGCCCCTTTGGGGTGTGGTTCTCCTGGCTGTAGCCCGCCCCCCTTTGTCTCCAAGCCCCTTCTGACAGTCACGATGCTATACGTAAGCTCTTATAACCAGCCAGGCGCCACACCAAATGGTGTTCACGCTTGCTTCGGTTCATCCTCCCAACAATCCGTGCAGCAGATGCAGCTGTTATCCCACTTGACACCTGGGGAAGCGGAGGCCCAGAGAGGTAAGGTAGCCCCCTGAGGTCACGCAGCCAGTGCAAGGCAAAGCTGGGAGCAGAGCCCGAGTGTGTCTGATTCCAAAGCCACTGTTTTTTAACATCATGCCATCTGCCTCCTACTCCTGTTTCTGAGTGACACCTCCTGTTATCTCCACTCCCACAAAGAAGCTCAGTTCAGTTACTTAACACTTTGAAATTGCTTATGGCTCTGCACCCTGCCTCCTATCCCCTCCTCCCTCTCTCTCTCTCTCTCTCTCTCTCTCTCTCTCTCTCTCTCTCTCTCTCTCTCTCTTACACACACACACACACACACACACACACACACACACACACACACGAGGTACAAAGCTGCTCCTCTCCTTTCCTTGGCCCTGACCCACCAGGTTGCTTGTATTCTGCCTCAGGACCTCCACCACGGGCGCATGCAGATGAAAACCCTCACCAACAAGTGGTACGAGGAGGTGCGCCAGGGCCCCTCTGGCTCTGAGGACGAGGAGCAGGAGCTGCTGTGACCGAGCAGGGCCTCCCCATGTCTCCGGATGGACACCCAGCAAGGGCCCCTGAGGTGCGCGCATTTGGCAGGCTCGTCAGGAAGATGAAAGAGGATGGAGCCAAGGTGCCGCCTTCTTTCCCGGACCAGCCAGGCCAGCTGGCTTCTGAAACAAGTCCTCTCTCACTCCTCACCCAGCCAGCCCTCTGCTACAGCCTCACTCCCAGCCTGCAGATTAGACGGAAACCTGTGCAGGTAAACGTTTCCTTTGCTTCTGCAGCCAAGGCACACAGTCATCTGTCCGGCCCAGGTGCCTGGGAGGAGAAATCCTGCTGTGGAAGCTGCTGTGACTGGGTGTCCTCGGGGGAACGCTGGCTAGCCATTCCCAGCTAACGCCATCATCATGACCCTAGGTGCGGGCAGGGCGAGGAGCCAGCTGCCAGTTTCCTTATCATCATCAAGGTGCCTTGGGCCTCAGCATCAGCAGTTCTGACCTGCGTGGCAGGCCCAGAAACCTTGAAAACCTCACACTCCCCTTCATGATGTTGCTTGCTCACCCTGAGAAAGAAAAACTGACCTTTTTCTTCTTTACCTCTGATTGGCACCTCGAAGGCTGTCTCCCTGGGTGACAGGCAGCCACTGCCTTCTCTGGAAATACTGTGAATGTTTACACTGGTAACCAGCACGTAGGCACAGGCCTTTCTTTGAGCCCCTTTGGAAGCGGCATCCCTGGTTTGGGGATGAGTGAGCCTATTTTCTGGTGTCAGAGCGCCCTCTACAGGACAAATGTAGCAGTACAGTGCTTAGGCAGGCCAGCAACTTCTGAATTTAAATTCATGCACTTGAACAAATGATGAGCGCCTAGCAGTCACCTCCCTCACCTTGATTCCCTACTCAGTGTCCTTGTGTGTTCAGAGGCCCCTTTTCTTGGGCTCCATGGAGTCTGCCCACCGTTTACTTGCTGCCGCCTTCACAGCTAATCAGCATTTCCTCTTCCCAAGTCTCTACTGTTTGGGGTCCCACTTGTCCTCCAGTTCGCCCAAGCACGGAGACGTGCCAGAGCCTGCCACCCCCTCCCCAGTGGCCTGCATTCACATGCATCTGGCCCCCACCTAAATCCCCAAGCAGCCACTGGGACCCCAGGAGGACCTGTTCCTCCCATTCTGTTACAGAGTGCTGACACTCTCATACACACCCCGCCTGACTGCATGGGCCTGCCCCCGGGCCTCTGAAGGCAAGCAGCTGCCAATCATGTCCAGATGATATGTAGTTAATGACTCACATCCACGCCTCACCTGCCCTAATTCAACAAGTCTCGTACCTGTTTGCCATTGCCCATGTAGGGGCTGTTTTGGTATTCCCACGTGTGGCTCAGGGTCCCAGCTGGAGCTGGGACTTAGCCCCCTCCGGGTGATTTAATGCATCATGTGCATGTGCTTGGTTCTCTGTGGGGACCCAATGGGCCAGCATGGGCCCTGGCTGGCAGCAAATATGTGTCCATTTCTTCTGCCTCTGGCAGCATGACTCAGACTGTCAGGAAGGACTGACCTTGGGACCCTTCAGGACTCAGGTCCAGCCCACAAGGCCAGGCCCTTTCCCTAATGCCTCCCTTTCCCCCGGAATGTAAATTGTAAGGCCAGTCAGGCAGGAAGCACGCAGCATCTTTTTATGCATGAAAAGTAAATTTGTACTTTATAGAGCTAAAATATCATTTTTGTTTTTGTAATTTCCCCCTTTAATCCAATAATTTGAGCCAAACAGGATTCTTTTTTAAAATATATTTTATTGATTTTTTAAAGAGAAGGGAGGATAGAAAGTTAGAAACGTCGATGAGAATCATCGACCAGCTGCCTTCTGCACCCTCCCCCGCAACTGGGGATGTGCCCGCAACCAAGGTACATGCCCTTGACCAGAATCGAACCTGGGACCTTTCAGTCCGCAGACCGATGCTCTATCCACTGAGCCAAATGGGTTTCGGTCAAACAGGATTCTTTTACTCCACCTGATACCCCCACTGGAGGAGTAATATGTGCATAATTTTCTTATTAACTTTTAGTGGGGGGAAAAAAAAAAGGTCAAAGAGGGAGAGACCTTAGTCCACATGAGGTGGGGGGATAGGCAGAGATCATACTGTTCTCTCATTTCCCAACTCACAAGTAATTTACTTCCTGCCCTAAAACTCAGGGTCTTTTCTCAGAGGTGGAAGTTGCATTGCAAACCCAATATCTTGCCAGGAACATAAAATTTTTTTTATAGAGTAAGCAATGAAAACAGGTTCTTTTCGATTCAGACTGCTTCTTGCCATCGGTCCTGCCTGGCAACCCACTTTTAGCTGAGACCTGAAGATGACACTGGTAGAGATGTGCTTGGGGGAAGGTCCCCAAGGCTTGGCTGTGGGTATGGGGCACCTTTCCTGGCAGGACCCAGCGCTGGTCTGGATCTCCTGTGGCCTCTGCTCCTTAGCAGTCTGGCTGGCTGGCTGGTCATCTTTGGAACAGGCAAACGCCCATAGAGAGGCATTTTTCTGGTGGGTTTTCTAATGTCTTTGCCTGAGAATAAAAAAGTTGCTTCTGTCTACCTTTAGCATATTTAATAATTACATTATTTGGTGTAATAAATGCCTCGATTTAAAAACTCCAGCATAACTTTGACTTCTTGCATATTTATTTTCTTTTAGGTCTAGGCCATGGGCAGGAGAGCTATATATAGGACGTAGAGAAGGTAAACTTTAGAGTGAGCTGAAGGCTGTGAAGTCAGTGAGTGCCTTTGGGGAAGCTGGCCGTTTAGCCAGAAAATTCAGAAAATGTGCCTGCCTTGTGGAGCTGGGGAAAGGAGCTGGCTTTTCCTAGGTCTCCAGAGATCGAGCTTGGACTGGCCTGGGCCAGGGCCAGGCAGAAGGTGGCTCAGTTCCATAGTCTGATGCTCAGACCCTCAGCCTAGCAGCAAAACTGAGACCTCCCACCCCCAGGCCAGCCACCTCTTTTCACAGTGGGAATGTTGACCAATCCCTGGTTGTTGTAGGCCAAGGGGTAAGGCTGGCCCAGAATGTTGGCAGCCTGACTCCCCCAAGTCAGCCCAGACAGGCCGTGATTTGCCTGCAGATTCCTTTGTGTGAGTGGAATGCAGAAAAGATTGGTGAGTGGGAATCCTTCTCTCCTTAAAACCCACATCAGACATGCCATCAGCAAGACTCGGCCTGTAAGGTCTCAGTTCCATATTCCCAGAGGTGCCCACACACTTGGCAAAGTCCTCAGTGGGTGGATCTGTTCTTAGAACTGGTCCCTGATTCAAGAAGGAATCTCTCAGCAGCAATGTTCTGCCATTGACTAGCACTTTAAATGAAAAAATAAAAAAGAGATCCTTCCCTCATTCCCTCTAGAATGCAGGCATCTGTTCCTCCTGCTGGTTAAGTAGAAAATCAAATCTGAAATGTCCCTTATATAGCAGCCAGAATCATTAAGAAGTTGTTCAACCAGGAGCCCAGTTCCCGAGGCCCCAGGCCATATGTTTTCAATGAAAACACCACAGTCAGAGTCAAGGCCTAAAGGGGAAAAGTAGCTACTCCTCCTTCCATTTAGGCTCCTGCCATTTCTCACACAAATCGAGTTGTTGTTTTTTTTAATCCTCACCCAAATATATGTTTTTCGTTAATCCTAGAGAAAGAGGAAGCGAGAGGGAGAGGGAGAGAATTAAACCCAAGTCCTTTGATGCAGGGGACAACACTCCAACCAACGGAGCATCACTGGCTAGGGCTGGAGTTGGATATTCAGGGACTTCACTGACCAATGTCAAAAGAAGGAAGACTTTCTAATTTCCTCTGATCCGGTTATCTCACTGGCCCATCCTGTTTTTCATCCTTTCCCACCCGAGCCAGCATTATCCCAGATGGAAAGAAAACAAACAAAAAACCTTAGCGTTTCTTAACGGGAATTGGTGTCCTCCCAGGCTGCTCTGCGTGACCTGCCTGAAGTCAGGGTGAGAGAGCTGGTGCTTGGGGCGGTTGCGGGGATGATGGGGACCTGCAGGTCACCTGTGGGCCTTCAGCCACATGGGAGAGCCATTAGCATATTCCTGGTGCTCACTTCCCACAGTCCCAGCCCTGCTCTAAGGAACGGGGCACACCAGCCAGGGAAGTCTCCTTACTTGCTGGACAGCTGAGGTTTCTGGTTTATCAAAGGCTTTAACGTTTTCTCTAAATACAGCTCCTGCAAAGCTTGATTTGTCCTCAAGGTGAATCAGAAGCATGTGGGGTTTGGGTTTTATTTTGAGAGAAAGATTGATCTGTTGCTCCCCCGTTCATGTATCCATTGGTTGACTCCTGACCAGGGATCAAATCTGAAACCCTCGGGTATTGGGACGATGCTCCGACCAACTGAGCCACTCAGCCAGGGCAGAATCTTGTAATATTTTTAAAGCAATTTTCTCTGTCAAAATGAAGGATTTGTTATTTATTTTAAGGATGACTTGGAAGGTCAGGCTTATTCTTTTGCTGTCCCCCATGTAAGCTGTGAGGGGCATTTGTTAGGTCCTGGTTCCTGAGAAATGACTTGATGGGCTTCAGGTTGTGGAGAGGAAGATGGGTCGGTGATGGGGGACCTGGGGACTTTAGCATCAGCCTGGTCCTGGGGACAGAGGGACCCTCGGCCCTCTGCACCAGGCAGTTTTCAGATGATGCCCTGGTGCAAATGGGGGGGGGGGGGGAAGGGCTTTGCTTACAAAAAAAAGGGGGGGGCCCACAAAATGTGGTTGGTTTACATTGTGGCAAAGCGAACTGCTACTCGCTGGTGGGAGGGCCCCTGTTCAGTCTCCTTGGAGGACGACGTGGAGACACTTACCAAAAGCCTGAAGGGTCCCGTGCTCTGACGCAGCAGTTCCAAATGGTTTGAAAATTTTTTTCAAAAAAGGATAACGTTTCATGACATGAAATTTATATGAAATTCAAATTTTAATGTCCATAAATAAAGTTTTGAATTTTTTAAAACTTGTTTTCTCTAATTATATAAGTGCATACTCTTTTTTTCCCTCTTAGCTCACAAAGCTGAAAATATTCACTATCTGATCATTTACAAAACAAGTTTACCTAAATTTTTTCTCTTTATTTTTCATTGTTGCTAATTCTCACCCTAGGATATTTTTCCTTTGATTCTTAGAGAGTGGAAGGAAGGGGGAGACAAAGCGAGAGAAGCATGGATGTGAGAGAGACACATTGATTGGTCGCCTCCAATAAGCGCCCTGACCAGGGCAGGGATTGAGCCTGCAACCAAGATACATGCTCTTGACTGGAATCCAATCCAGGACACTTAAGTCTGTGGGACAACATTCTATCCACTGAACCAAATCAGCCAGCACTTTTTTTTTTTATTAACTACAGACCTGGTGCATGGATTTGTGCA